TGATTGCTGTCTACATATCTATTATGCATTTAATCTAGCAGGCATACTCACCACGGTACCTACTATGAACTCAAGCATGGCCCATGACTGGTACTAGCTGCATCTGCAATTAGGTCTCAAGGGCCAGGGTGAAGGTCCTTGTAAACTCGACGATGCTTGATAATAACTTTATTACAACCTCTATCTGCTATCGATTCAGTCCTGGCTGTAAAAGTTATACAATACATGAATGTAACTTCAATTTTTCGACTCAAGAGAAATGTGAGTTGGTTAGAAACAGCTTCGACTCTATCAATTGTTGAAGTTGGCCTCCTTGTGGAAAGCCTTTTACTAAGTCATATACCGTGTGTGTCTCTCGGGGAAAATTAATACCCTCATCCAATCATTACCGGCGCAAGAAGAGCTGAAATTTCCGTTCAATACTGTTGATTAGTTATCGGAGTGAAGCGGTATGTTGCGTAAGCTCCTTCTATTACCTGATATTCTACATAGGAAGACTTAGTATCCGAGCGCTGTCAGCTATCTAATGTAGCTCTAACTTACATGTCAAGACGAGAGTATCTCTACCTACAGTAGGCAGCGGACTGTCAGATTGAGGCGATTTACCTAGGCGGTGAACCAGACGGTTATTGCAGTGCATAATAGCGTCTCTGGATATGTCGGATGCTTCCATTCCAATATACTTGGTACACCTACTTGAGGTTGAGTACAGTAGGTGTACATAGTATAACGTGCCAGTTGGCGCGTTTAGCTTTGTTTGGCTAGTCTGCATTGTTATAATGCGGTCTTATACGTCAAACTGGTCTAGCTAATAGCTATCTTACTTTGTTCTACTACTGTATGTAAGCGACGATTTGTCAGAATGTCGGTGGGTGCGTAGGTGTTGATTTTGTGATTTCGGGATCTTGCAGTGTAAAGTATTCTCGAAATCGATGAGATAGTAGACCGCTGTAGCCATTATTATCGTGCTACTTGCAGCTCAGCTGCCATTCCCAGCACATGACGGTACCATCAAGGGTAAAGCAACTTCACACGCAACTACATGTGCCGTGTCTCTGTCCAGATTAACAGGGATTCTCCAAAGTTCTTTCTCCCCTGCCCCCTGCCAGGATAGGTGTGGAACCCAGCGTTGGCTCACTCACATGGGCCCATGTAGGCAGCATGTACAGATACATTTCTAGCTGCGGGCTGCACTAGGTCGTAGGTAGAAGAGGGACGATTTGAGCACCTATATTTACTGTGTATTATAGGTCATCGCTGTGTCTCTACTGGTAGAAGGAGAAGGCTGGTGATTTTTATATCCCTACTCGAAGGATGCAGTCATACAATTTGAAACGTATCACCAAGCCGGGAATCAAGTTCCGGCAGATGGACAACGCCTAGAGCTGTCCAGAGGAAGAGGGAGAAACCACGCCGTGGGCTAACTGGGGGGTGTGAAGTAGAAGGCTAGCCAAGCTTTTGGAAAGTTGAGAAACTCTTGGTGGCTGCCACGCGAATGATGAAAAGCTTGCGACGTTAGCTTTCGGTATGTTCACGCCATTCGATGGACCAGGTCTGCTGGAGATGATCCCTGATGGATTTACCACACCAACCACCAAACCCATGAATACCTTACTATGTAAGTATGGGCGAGGTGTCGGTACTGATTCTCCCCCAACCGATTAGCCACTCCACTACCTTGACTACCTGATTCTTGCCGCACAGTAGTGTCGCGTCCCCTGCCTGGTCAGTCGACCGGCCTATGATGGCAAGGTCGAGCCATTGGCGAATTGTGACCTTGTGGAGGAGGCTTTCGATGCAACTCCCGTCGAAGGCTCGTCCCGAACGTCTGGGATTACCGTCCAAAGCGTGAACAGCACGGGGATGCTATCGTCGCCTTGAGTGATCCTGGAAACCCTCTCGCTAGTGTCGCGTTTACCTACTTAGTACCCTACTTACTTAGTACAGTCGGTGCGTTATTGTACTGTAGGGCCTGAATGCGATTGAGAGAGATGAATAATTATAAGCTGTATCCCCATTTCTTGGGATTGGAGACTACACACACCTTTGCTCTCCTCGCACCCTTGTCGAGATTCGCCCGCATCTTCGGAAAATGGAAATAGCAGAGCGCGCCTGTCTGCTTACCTACCTAGTGTACTTTATACATGGAGAGATAGTTTTGACTCTTTCTTTTGCGCTCAGACCTGCCTGCTCGCTAAAATGCCCCTCCTGAATGCGTACGTGGTGTTGTCATCAACACACGCCAATCGGCGATACGGGCTGCGAAGCCGTTGATTACACTACACATGCGCAAGGAGGCACCTTTTGTAGCTACACTAGACCCGAGTTGAAACGAGTAGTGTAGCTCGAGATCGCTGGGTAATTACGAGACGTCTAGAATGGGCGATAGGCCCGAAAGTCGGGGGGAGCGCACCAATTGCGTCAGCGAGGAGGAGAACTAGTAACCCATTATACTGGAGTAGGTAGATGGAGGATTAGCCTGACCGGGAAGGTCGTGTGGGCGTCTCCATGAGTCGGTATACGTAACGTCGTCCGACGTCCGACCTGTGTCTGTAAATGTACACTACACACTACGAAGTAACAAACACACGCTGCCCCTAAGTAGACTCAGACTACATGGAGGTATGTAAATCAGCGATCAAACCATGGTAAGGGGTGTCGAGAGTTGTGTGAGTCGCAGTTACATACCTCTGAGTAGGACCCTAATTTTAGACAGCGCGAACTTCGGCTTTCTACAATTCTACAATACTTGGTCGGTGGTATCTATCTACTATCTATCTACGAAGTACTATCTATTTACAGCAGCGGATTCCACCGGACGTGATTCGTCGTGCTTCTAAAGTACTGTAAGCGATGCTGGCATGTAAATACCTGACCCAACAGTGAGATAGTGTACCGATGACAACCATCTATACGGTACTGTAAGTAAGTAAGTAGGTAGGTGTTCTCCCACTTCAAGTCCGACGACCCGGAACATGCCGAACTGCTCTTCATTCACCTTTGTCATCTTTTCAAGGGCTAAGTCTGGTAAGGGAAAAGATGGGAATCCTTCCTACGAAGTAGGTACTGCGTCTGACATTATACCCATGTCCGCCTAGCTACACTAGGCTTCTTCTGCCGCATGTTCCTCGCTTACCTATTGTACGTACAGTAGTGCGCAGTGGTCGCAAACGAACTGCAGTAACCACATCGTGAAAGTGAGTGGTCCTCTTCTGTGTGGACTGCTGCCCAAATAGGGTGTCCAGAGTGACTAGTACTGTACGTGTCGCCGATCTTCATTGCGCAGAAGTTAAGAATAACATATGGTAGTGGAAACAGGGCGAATGCCATCAGTCACTCATATTCTCTGATTGCAAATATCTAGAATGACCCGATGCCGTGATAAGATTTGCGTAATATAGTGTTTTGGTCCAGTAAATTTCACTATCTTCCGCTGATGGTTGATCACTTAAGTACTTACATATATTCCCGGAATTGACCATCCCGGCGTAGGTATTCAATGTTGCCGAGCCCTGTTGCTCTCTAATTCTTATTGCCGAATTTCGTAGGTAGTCTTGAAGAAATGCATAACTCTTCGTTTTCACGTCGGAAATACAGCGTATCCTGGTGAAGACATAATGATATAATAGTAGACCTCGTTCATGGACGTTCCTACAGTAGCGCACAGAGAGGCCTGTAGTGTAGTATTTAGCTTACTGCAGGGGTGAAGCTGAAGCTGACGTCCCAGTCCCAGCCCAAGGTGCTGGATCTCACTAGTCTACCTGGTTTAGATGCAGCATAACCCAGGCAGAGTAGCATCTACTAGGGTAGCGAAAGGAAGGGATCCCCATAATTAGCCTGGTCCAGCGGCCAGCCCATCGCTCGTGGTTTGCAGGGTGCTGAGGTTGCCCCTGAAGACAGGTTTACCCTTTTCCCTGTCAGATCTTCGTTTCTTCAACTGCCCCTGGCAGCTGTATCACGACGATTTCACGTGGCTCTGATTACAACCCGGCCGTTCTGTCAAGCTAGCATAGCTGGAACATTGCGTCGGTAATTCACTGGGTACCAGATGTCTGCTGATTAGTCGCGATGCCATACTACGTAAGTAGTGTACTGTGCCTATCTACAAACACAAGCACATGCTACTGGACATTACCGGGACTCATGGTATGGCACAATCGCCTTCCCGTCACGGGTTGGGGGCCATTAGAAACAGAGATACCTGCTGTACTCCCGCGCTACATAATAAACACACGCATGCTACTGATGTCACACCTACTACCTACAGTAAGGAGGTATGATATCAAGCACCAGTGTCATCAAACAATGTGGGGTCTTTTGTCTGTAACACATGACTGTACTATATGTAAGTACAAGTAAGAAAGGCAGTAAGTACTCAATAGTAGTAAGAGTAGTCGTGACACATATCTGTTTCCATTACATTGCGGTGTAATACCTCGTATCGTAAGTACGGTAACCTCGCAGCCCTTTATTGGGCTAACACCACGATACCAAGACCTGTGTGCGCCATAGCAAGTTGACTCCTAACGTACACGGCAGGTTTCCATACGCACATTGTACTCTACTGTTTGTTGATACTGTCGCTATGTTGGTAGATGACATCGTTCCAAGGCCGTATCAAAAGAAAGGTGTTTGGACGGATGCCAAAGCGATTAAGACGATGTTCATCCATGCGTTCACCGCGTGTACCTATACTCACACACCATCCAAGAGAGTGGTGTATGGTCTGATTGCAAGCACGTCCTCCTGGGTACTGTAAGAAGCCATACGCCAACGGCGGCGTGTTGATAGAGGCCGACTCTATTGACCAACCAGAGGCCGGCCTTACCTCCGTTGTCCATACGGGCTACTTCCGCTGAAGCCGGAGCAGTGGTTTATTGCTACTGTACACTACGACTACGACTAACATAAGTATGTCTTAGCGTGGGGAAGCAAACAAATACCTAACACATCTAACATCTCAAATGCACTAGGTACTAAAAGTATGGACTACTGTGAATGGATTTCATTGTGTGTGGTTAAGTGGGTAGACGGAGTGTGGGAGCACTCAATATTACCAAGTGTTACCTTGCCTGGGATGGCGTTGCGTTGCGGTATGCTTCGACCTCACACTTTTTTATTTTTTATTTTTTATTTAAGCAATGTGGCATAAGTAGTATATGTCCCTGTAACTTGTCTTTCAAGCTACCTGTAGTGTAATGTTCCCTATACAGTACCTCGCTTTACCTTATCTTCTCCTTTCTTTCCCCGTCTCCATTCTTCATTCTCCATTCTCCATTTCCCATCTTTGCACTCCCCCACCCACCCATTTCCTGCACCTTGTCAGATTTGCATCACAGTTCGCGGAGTGTGGTATACTACTGTCGTATATTCACATCCTTTGTGATAGGCATTTTATCTATTCCTTGCGCTGGAAGGTACTAAAAATATAAAAATAAATAAATACTACTGAAGAAAACTAGCGCGGAGGTTTTCTTGTAACAGTTCCAAGTACTAGCCCAAAACGAGTGCTCTGTTGAACAATATATACACCCGCCGCCTAATAACACTACTATAGCTACGACAGCATTGCCGTCCCTTCCTGGCTGGGTAAGTAGGAGGTATAAGATAGTTCATTTTTCTACGCGCAGTTAGTTATATACCCGTATATATATATATATGTGTGTGTGTACGTAGCATAGGCACCCATATGTTTTCCATATACCAGTATACAACTACCTAGGTAGCCCTACATACACTCCAAGATAACGAATGGTTCAATCCCATCAGACATCTCTCACTCGCCCATCATCCACGTCAGTAAAGAAGGTAGGTAGATAGGTATTGTAAAGTATAAGCGTCTATTCACTACGTGTACAACTGCATACTTGTAAGTATGCGTACCTACATAGCTATATGGCCTACCTAGTATTACATGGTAGTACTTATAGGAGGCGGCGTATGCTAAGCACCTAATACCTACCTAAGTAAGCAGGGAGGAAATATACAGATCGTGTATGGAGTACTGCAGAACAGACGTTGGTAGCGAGGAGACTGGAGTGTCACGTACCGTGCCATGCCGAGGTTGGGACTGTTCGTGTGTTGTGGTGTAGATGGAGGTAGACAGTTCGCCCCGAGGAACCACTGCTCTGCTGGTGCACATGTACCGAGTAGGCCCTGGGTAGGTTAAGGAAGTAACTACCAGGTAGTAACTACGGTCGGGTAGCAGGTGTGTAGACGTTCCTGCAAACCCCCTTGTCGTCGACCTCATCATCCTTGTAAAAACCGTTGAAAAAAAAAGGCATGCTTCGTCTGTCCGGTACGTACCAACCCTGATATCAAACCCCCCTCCCACGTACATCACATCACATACATCATTTGGAACCTTTAACCTCCTCGATATTGAACGACCTATCACCCTCCTCCTCCTCCTCCTCCTCTTTCTCTCCATTGCCATTATCGCAGCATGTCCGCAAGAGACAATCCAAGCCTCTCGATATAGATCACGCGACTGATCGCTGCCGCCGTTAATTATAGGCTTGGGTAGCGTCGAGTTACCTAGTTAGTACGCTTCTCTTAGCTGCTTTTCGCGTCTTGCGCCGCCAGTGTTTCAATCAGCGTCACAATCCACGAAACGTCCACGTTCGAACCCGGCTCGAAATTTAATCGCCATTGACAACTGAATGGGCCCATTTGTACATTTGTCGACTCCTTACACCGCCAGCTACCGATTTCTGTCTTGAAAGAGACTTATCATCACCAATACAGTGTATTTCATAGTGGGATATCGCAGTTCTTTGCGCCATCTGAGAACACTTCTCGAGAACGTCGAAAACACCCTGCGACCAGCTCTTCTTGTCGTCCGCAACCTGGAAGTCATTAGGTATTTCCTTTTATTTTGCTCTTCTCTCTGCCCCGGCCCTTTTCCTGTACCTATTGATGCTTAATCTACTTCCCGATGTTGTACGAAATCGAATGCTGGCTAGCGTCTTCTCTCTGGGCACAGCAGTTCTAAGCTGAGTGGGAAATCATCATGGCTCGCTTCTCCATTGGTCTGTCTGCGCATGCTGTGTGCACTCCAGGAAAGGGCAACTGCACGTGTACGCCATCACCTCTTGGACCTACCGACGCGCCGTCCCGGTCAAATCGCCCTGCAGAGAACCCAAAGGCCCTTGCAGAACAACACGGCGCCATTGACTTTGTGCCGCCTCGGATCGATATGAATGCGCTGCTTCTTCCCGTGCTCATATGTCTCGCCTCATTGCCATTGCCATGATCCGATGTTCTCTTCCATTTTAGCAGCGGTGAACTAATCGAGAGGTGGTATAGACAGACAGGCATTATCCCACGACGGCGATTTTCCGTGCAAAACCAGTAACATCTATCTACCTTCCAGCTTGGCAGCAATTAGTACCATTGCGTCCGTCCATTGTCCTGTGCATATAATCCAATCCTAGTCACTGCAAAGTAGCTATGTAAGTAACAAGCTTGTTTCTCGTTGTTTCCCTTCTCGTCGTTTTCCATCTCCCATGGCACATGTGCAGTTCACGGCCTGGCATCTTACATGGTCTCTGCGCTCGTCTCTCGAAGATGGAGCTACCTACCCTGTAGAGGCAGGGGAACCTGCCCTAGGGGCGGCCCCATGCCCTTGTATCATGCACGCGACCCGGCCCAGCAGCACCACCTGCGTCAGGGCGCCCACAAGATTCCCTACCACTGCATGGCAGCCGACTGGGTACCTCGGCCTAGGAAACATGGGCCAGATATTCGTCCCATCTCCATGTCCATCTCCATATCACACATCGCATCGCATCGCGTCGCATACCTACCATGTAGCATTGCTGCTGCCATTGAAGCAAATACCGTGACAGCGGTAGTCGGACTCACTGGCTTCGCTAGCGCGCTTTCTGCCATTGATTGCTTAGTAGTTGACCCACTGAGGCAAACGACTGATCTGGTGACTGCTGCTAGATGCGCTCCTTTTTGGCCCTTGATACCGTAACATCGCGACGGCAACCTTCCAGTTCTACCCGAGTCGGACCAGAGGGTGTAGACCACCTTGACTCACACCTAGTAGAGTTAGCAGCATACCAAGCAAAGACTGTCGCAATTTAGCGACCCGTGTCTAGTACTATTGCACTACCAATATACGGGTACGCGCCTCGAAATCTAGGAAGCTCGATTACACACAGGAACATTGGATCCAATAGATTCCTTCTCCCGTCCCGATATTCGTCATCCTACCTCTTGTTTGCAGGATCTCATCTCCACCTCGCCGCTCTGCAAGGCATTCCGCGCTGCGACCACTCACACTCAACTGGTTCGGGGCCTTTTCATATACACCATAGAAATAGCGCCGTCAGTTATCTACACCCATCTCGACAACACCAAACCTCGACACGGTTGTAAGTCTCCTGGAGTTTCTCTAATCTCGAAGGTATGTAAGCGCTGTTTGGTGTTGAGCTGACAGGTGATGCACAGTGGAAGCTTGAAGCACTCGATTTGGTGCTGGTATCAACTAGCAAGTGCTGCTTATTCTTGCTTAAGAAACTTCAAGGTACGACCATTTCATTTCCACATACTTACTCAACCGATCCGCGGGGAGAGGGTTGATTCCTTAAGCCACGTATATACCTGGTTCTATCTACCATTGCCTGTCATGATATATACATTCAGACAATCCTGTTTGTTCAAGATATCTTTACCTCGCCCCCTAAAATATCCCATCTGTTATTGCACAGGCGCAAGCTGAGTCTTGAGAGTGATGGTGCTTTTCTACACCTAGCTATTTCGAGCAGCTATCCTTTGTATTATTTCATTTCTCCTTCTTGACTTTCATTTTGTGATCTGGATAGAGCAAAGACATTGCAATGTACGCTGCTTTGTCTACTTCCCCATCTACCAATCCTTGCATCAACTAGACACTACAGTATGGTACAGCCCAATTTATTGTAAGCGGCGCACGGGAGTGGTGTCAACGGAGGTGCATAGCGCCCCGAGACTGGTGGCTAGGCAATTAGGTACCCACCTGTCACGCAAACCTTTCCTCATCCTCATCCCCGTCGGCCCTAGCCAAGAGCCCAGGTCCAGGTCCAGGTCCATGTCGTCCAGTGTCCAGGTTCAGGAACGCATCCTGGCCTTGCAGCTTTCGCGCAATACTACATATTCTTATTCACATCCGCACGTGTACCGAGCTACGATCTCGTTGAAGGCTTGGTTCTTCCCAGCAAATTGCATGAACTGACAGGTAACCAGATCAGGGAACCAGATTCGATTGCGAGCCCTAGCCCAAGCCACAAGACATCGCGTGCATAAGACCACATCGATAACCATAAAAAGTGGAAGGCCGAAGCTCTGAGACGCGAGTTGTCCTAGCACAGAGCAGGTACCACACTTTTGAGACGGCCGTGTCTACGGGTACTGGTTGGATTGGATTGGATTGTACATAGTACTGCACACCGCGCGCCAGAAGCCCAGCGGTGCGGCAGCACGATACACGCCACGAGGAAGACTCGGGTCCCGCAGCGACGGGCCCTTCCCTCCTCGTCCACACCCCCCACTCGGATTTGTCACCCCAGCACATGCGACAAGCAACTCGCAACGTGCGACCGTTGTGCAGCTCGCGTTCACCAATACGCAGACCGCTAGTACACATCGCCTACTACCTACCGCCTGTGGCACGCCATACGGAAGAGCACCGGCTGTGTAGAGTTCTACGGTATGTCATGTCCCAAATTTGAGTCGATCCTTTCTACACGTATGCTCGTATGCCTACCTCTCTCTATATCTGGGTGCATGTACGGTTGCCGTCATATTCAGCTATGACTGCTCGACTTTGTTATTGCGCTATAGCCGACTCGCTAGTGGTGACTCTAATGTGGCGCCAATCGCAATGCAATTTCGGCCGCTCAGCTGAAAAGGCAATCGCATGAGTAAATTCATGCGAAGAATTTTGCCCTCTGTCTCTTTTTTCCTCCCTCCCTCTCTCTTGGCCCCTGCGTTTAATAATGTCTTTCTTTTCATGTTATCGAGACCCGCTTCTATTTATAATTCTTCCTCCTATCCCTATCCCGGCCCTTAATCCCGTCGCGTGCATTTTGTTGTTGATGCCTGTATATCTAATCCTTTCTCCATGATAGTCGTGGTAGTTCTATCCATCATTTACCGTAGCTCTATCGTAAACAACTCACCCAGCGCGTTTATCATTGCACGTTCAGCTGGCCGTGTTCTTGTTTTCTAGGGAGTTCTTATTCTGTATCTCTCATTCCGATAAGTAAGTGTTCACCAGAGTCGGCAAAGCACAAGCTCTTTCGCGTCCCTCCGTCATTATCCCCTTGGCGATCACCAAAATCTCTATAGCACTGCCATGGTTATCCTTGTTCTCTTGCTGAATGCTGCGAGCGCCGCACGCGACGGCTTTAAACAATGCGCCGTTGTGGCAGTCAACGGTCTCCCTTACGCGAACTAATGTGGAGAATGGCTTCATGAACCATGGATCATGGCTGTTAAGCTGGATAGCTAACCATTGTTCTTTAGACGACGCGCCGAAAGCCAACGGCAATGATTATGAAGATGGCACAACACCGGCAGGCCCCGAGCCCCTATGTGAAGGAGGAACCACAGCAACACAGTGATTCTGTAAGTATAGATTCTGTTTCCTTGACGCGTTCTTTCTATACATGCGTTGCATCGCGTTGCATTACCATTATATTTCTCTTCCACTATCTAAATTTCCGACAATCATCGTGCATTCGGGAGTGGACTCTGCCAAGCGGATTTAGAATTGACCTGTGCATGGCCGATGGGTGACGGATATGGTTCAGCCTCAAGTGTGAGCTGCTGTGGGTTGCAGACCAGAGCCACCCTTGCTTTCTCCAGCACCCGAACAGGCACATCGACATCGTGGTCGGACGCCTGCTTCGAGAAAATTCGCAGGGACGTGGTAAGCTTGTCTAGGTCAAGACTTGAGCGGCGTCAACGGGAATTGCAGGGGAGCAATGTGTTTCACAGCGACCAGGGGGTGCTCGCCGGGGGCAATGCTTGGGTCTTAGTCGCGGGAGAAGGGGTTCTCTATTCTCCGCTTCTGGAACAAGGCGTGACTATGGGCTGGTTACTTAGCGTCGCCGCCAATCTCTAGGCCTGGCGGGACTGGCTATGGCCATCCTTGTATTTCATCCAGTGCTCTCTTGAGTCTACACTCATCTCTCACATCTGCGGTACTTTCCCCAGAGTCGCTGGCCACCGCAAAATAGGAAGTCTTCAGGTACCTCGCGCTAAGTGCAGGCGGGGCGTGGCGACCGGGACGGTCAACCACTTCATTTCACAACAGTCACGACGCACTGTCCGCCACTCCCACTCCCGCTCCATCCACAGTACGACTACATCCAGATTCCACCAGACCAACGCACACCAGGTCGTTGAAACGCCCTGGGCCTGTCCGAGCTCAGGTTCGCGGTGCCAATTCAGAAGCGATCACCAGTCGTCGTGCATTCGGGACGACGCTAGCCACATGCACATATCGTACCTCACCACCTCACCTACAGCAACACTTGGGAGCCAGCGGCGTCCGTGCAGACGAGCGTTTCGGGGTAATTATCCCCATAACTCTCTGCCATGCGAAATTACCCAACACCACATCTGCGCTGTTCTTTACGCCCATGCCAAATGCGGCCTGGAAACGTCAGCACACCATTCAATCATGCGACCTTACCACCTTTGCCTTCCACTAGGCCATAGTGCGTGCTTAGGCCTTTTTCCTTCCATCGTTCTAGAGGATACTGTACTATGCCTCAACACTATTGATCGGGTCTGATCGGGTCCAGCTTCGAGGGCCCTCTACAACGTTCATAGCCAATATGGCCAGTCATTCTATCGGTCACGCTCTGCAAACATCTGCATGCTGCACAGCAGACAAACTCCGGATGCTTGGGCCATGGAGAAGGCGTTTGTCCCTTATGATGCAAGCGCAAACGCGTTTAGGTGGCACTGGATCTGGTTCTCCAATAGTGAGAGTCACCCACCGACTGGGAGCAATTCATCGACCTGCACAGTGTCTGTTCTATTCTGATACTTAGGCACGCTGGAGCCACGCCGATGATACGATTGACTAAACCAGACCGAGTAAGAACAGACTGGCGGAGACTGTACAGCAGCAAGCATTGTGTTGTACTGTAGACTAAACCTGCTTCCAACTGGGATCCAAACAAAGTACCTGCGCACAAAATCGCACCACACTTTGGTCCCACCTCGTCTGGGATTCCGCTGAAGTACTGGTACTTGTGACAGACACACCGCCTTGCACCTCGTCGCTCTCGCCCCTGTTGTCTTGGCCTTCCGGAGCAGAGTGCCTCATTGGGTAACCAATTCCTACTGGGACCTCTCATCGTTCTCATGATTGGCCTTTTCATCTACGGTCCAAAGCCCCTAGTCACTTTTCTTGTGTGTGTTGTCCCACACCTTGATCCGTTCACACCCTCTTGCAGTCAAGAAAATCTCCATCTTCGATTTCTCTTCACATTCACTCTAGCGCAAACTTAGCATGTTGCTTGCCCCCTTCATACAGTCCTACATATTATTTCTTCTGCTCAACCTGAGATCACACTCTTGGTACCTAACCGAGTCTTTATGCGAGTGGATCGAGCTTCACCTATCCCATCGTTAACCCCGGTTTACTTTTTGAGGCGTATCCTTGCCTGATGCTTTCTTTCCCCTGGTCTTCCCCTACACCTCCAGATATTATAGGTCCCTCGCTCCCTGGACATTTCGATACAAATATTTTGTTACCCTTGGCGACTTCATAATCACTCCTCAGTCTTTAACCTGGCCATTTCCTCGAAGTTTTTTTTTCCTTGAAAAAAAGCTAAAGACAAGGAATTCTTGATCTATAAACCTAGTCGGTGAATCTCGAGACTTCCAGGGCCCCCGTTCCAGTTACTATCCACTCCTCTCCTAAAGGAGCAATTAGCTGGTCTTAACTTGCTGGTACTACACCTCTCCCTCTGACAACATGCCTCTCGACCCCTGGTTGTATATCCTGGAGCTCCCCCCGTCATGTCAAAAGCCCTACACGCAGAACCTCGTCGTCAGGGATCGTCTAAGTTCCTTACACCCTGGTGACTGTACCACAAAACCTCTTTTGAATTCAATTCCAGCAGTCTTTGTTTTATTTTCTCATGCCTGCATTCTTGATTTTGAGTTTGGTCGTTGATAACTAGAACTAATGGTTGTTACCTCTCTGCAGCAGCACCACCCCCACTCCCAGGGTTCGGCGCCTCATCTCCAACACACCCGACCTTCAAGCATTGTTCATCAGCAACACCACCAGGCCCCTTCGGCCCAGTCGGCGTACTCGTCGCATTCCATACAGCCCTACCAGGCATCGAGTCACTCTGGGGGCGCGCAGCATTCGCAAGACATTCCTTATTACGCTCATCAAAGCCCTTATAGTACCCCTGGCACCACCAGCGGATACACGTCCGCAGGTCAGTATTCGACGCGTCTCACCGCGCCCGCCTAGCCATCATTGCTTCAAGAGAGCTAACATTTCCATAGATACATCCGATATGATGGCTACGGCCCAGATACCTCCACGGTATCCACCGATCTATCATCCACCGTCATCGAATTCTCCAGCCTCCGTCGCGTCGAACTCCACCCATGACCAACATAGAAGTATTTACGGGCAACCATCTTCGCAGTTACAGCATCAATCAATGTACTATGGCGCACAGCAGAACCAGTATCCGTCGATGCCTCACCAAGCAGCATCGCCCTATCAGCAACATGCACAGCAGCCTCATCAATCAATGACGTCGCAGCCTAGCATGATGATGTCTCAGACCGGCCCACAGCACCAGCTTTCTCAACACGCCAGCCAGCACGCTCAGGCAGGGATGACCGGTAGCCCAAGACATACGAAGCTGGAACCTCAGATGACGCCTCAGTTGCAGCGACCAAGCTCAGGACCGCTAGGAACTCCTCAGCCCAACCAGAATGGTGGTCAATTGTCAACACCCACCGGGTCTTCTACGCCTGGAATAAATAACAACGCCGCCCCTGGCCCTATCCCTGCCACAACGCCCTTGGTTGTGAGACAAGATAACAACGGAGTTCAATGGATTGCATTCGAATACTCACGCGACCGTGTTAAGATGGAGTATACAATACGCTGTGACGTCGAATCTGTGAACACAGATGAACTTGGTGCTGATTTCAGGACGGAAAACTGTGTATACCCTCGGGCTTGCTGCGCAAAAGATCAATATCGCGGCAACCGACTTCAGTATGAAACCGAGTGTAACACAGTGGGATGGGCGCTTGCTCAGCTGAACCCGTGTCTTCGTGGAAAGAGGGGCCTTATTCAGCGAGCTGTAGACAGTTGGCGCAACAGCAATCAAGATCCAAGGCTACGAAGTCGACGTGTTCGCAGGATGGCTAAGATGAATAACCGCAAGACAGTCCAACCTCCTCATTCTACACACATGCCTGGTCCCGGTGGCCCCACCGGGTTGTCCACCCCTGGCAGCATGGGCCCCGGATCTGCTACGAGCCTGGGGAAGCCTGGAATCAGTAGCATGAGCTCGCAGATGCATCATCACCATAACCATGAAGGAAATGCACCAGGTGGAGGGGATGAAGTCGGTATGTACCAGATGTGATTGATGCGTTGATATTACAGTCACTACCGTTATCATTGTTGCGATACCTTTTGTTATTATACGGTATAACCTATTTGGTTTCTGTCTGGACTGGATACTTGTGTTTATATACTGGGCTGCGAAAGCCACTGGCGCGACGGGGAGTATGGGGAAAATCTGGCACTATTTCTGTACAATAACTAGTCGCCTTGGTCTGCTGGAGCGTTCGTCACCTGGCAAACGCCGCATGGCATCGTTTTTGCATTCCGCTGCACAAACACTTCGCGCACATATCGTCTCATCCACATATCTTTACAGTCTTGTACTACAGACCCCTTTCATTCCAAATCACAATTGCATTGATTCTCGAAATGTATAGACCCAGCACATTACCACCCCATTGCAATTGAGAGAAAGTTATACTGATTGCCGCGTCTCTTCTAGGAGATGGAGAATACATGGATGAGTCTCATCATCATCATCAGGCGCCCGCAGGACCGGGGTCCGGATCTGCAGATGATGTCCGGCAATCCCATGTCTTTACCGGGTATCCTCAACCATACCCCGGTCATGGCAGCTCAGGATCCTCCATGGCCCCCATGCATGATGGACTTGGCAGCTCTCACCATGGTCCGATTGCCGCTAAGCGCCATAGCCGGGATGACGAGGACATTAACCCTGAAGGCCTGTTTCCGGACATCCCTGAGTCTAAAAAGCGAAAATTCATCCTTGTAGATGACAACCGTCGGGGTGGTCGGCTCCGAGTGCGTGTGCAACTGGAGGGAGTCGATACGAAAGAAATCCCCGACTCGTTCCGTAAGCGGTCAGCTGTCTTCCCTCGCAGCTATTTCCCTCGGGAGATGCAGGACCCACCGCCGAGTGCTACTGGTAGTCGTTTCTTTGAAGACGATCTGAGTGATGATGACGTAGAGGTCGATGGTGGCCGTATGGGGCGCTCGAAGACAAGCCGACCTAGAGATCGTGTTCTCGTCAAAGTCCCAATGTCGAACGGGACTGAGGGAGAACTTGCCATACCAAGAATGAGAAATAGCAATCGGACGAAGGAAGTTCGGTTGAATGACCTGGGATTTCGAATGGCTTGGCTCAACGGCCGACCTTTCGCGGGTCGCACCATCTTCATGCAAAGAGCTCGTAAGTTGATCGCCGACTACCCTCTCCAGGTACAAATCGCTAATCTTAAGCAGTTGACTGCTACCGTAACAAGACACGCACTGCTGCCGAGAATGCCATGATGGACATCAAGACATCTGCACCACATTACGAGACACGAGTTGGAAAGAGGAGGTGGAACGAACGTATGGGCGCCGGTGATAAGTCTGCTGATGACGCTTAAGACCATACTATGTAGGATGACGTTGAATCATATCCCCACACCAACTCGACCGTAGCCGCCTTGATGGGCGGCTTTCTCAGTATATATGCATTACCGCCATGCTCTCAGCTATTAGGTATACGAGATTTCAGCGCGGCCTTCTGTCCTGTCTTTACAATAAGTACACCTCTTCGTCGGTATACAACCCAACTCTTGCATTCCATGGCTATTACGATACAAATATCGGATCAAACGTCCAAAAAGTGACGGAAATGAGCCAAATCTTCTTTATACTCTAACGACAGGAAGAAGGACGACACCTCAATATGCTTAGGCATTGTAAGTAATGACATTATTGAGCTAGACTCACCTATGTCGTACGCCCTATTCTACGTTACATTCCCGGCTGGCCAAAAAAAAAAAAAAACATGCGATGCTGTTTAAGTACAACACAGCTCGTCAGATTCCAGTATTTTATATCAAGCCGTGCAGCACAAATCGCACAGCCTAGCCAATTTATATGGCTACTCGGTACAATGGTATCCTACAAATTGTTCACAACTGGAAATACGATAAAGTATAAGGAGGGGAGATATCATTCATGAATTAGGTACAACGGGGTTTTATGGATGATTTTAAGGTACAAGCCCTGCAGATGAAACCAAAATTGAGTCCTGCCTCAGGGTCCTGAAATGCCTAACGCATGTTCAGTCAAGCTGATGGATGCGTATGACTAGAATACTGCATCCGCATCCGTTGAGCAGTTCAGTTCTTTTTCTTCGAGGTTTGTAACTAATACCAAGGGGATATATACGTTAGAATCAATAAAATCAACTAAAGCAGTTGCTGGTTAAAATAAGCACTTGCGTCGTCTCATATCAACTATACCTAGTTATCTCGGTCATCGCTACGTTAGACATAGCTACTCTGTGGATGTGACATGTGAGGCAGTGGCACTCCATACTATTACCTGTACTACAGACTGTAGCCTACTGAGAAACCTCCCATCTACATAGTCAATCCTATCTAGTCCACACAATGAAGCTTTGACAATATGTATAAGAGTACATCAATCAGGCCGGCGTGGGAGACTGGCGGGCTTCGAGCGGACGGACATCTTTTGTCGACTTCCGTGATAATGTGGCTTCAGGTAGCTTCGAGGTTGCATCTAAATCTAGGTTTCTAGACACAGCCCTCCCTCCTTTCCTCGGATGCGAGCTCTTATTCATCTCCATAATCAAACCATATAGAAGCCGCCGATGCGGTCGATCGTCATTATGATGCGATGTCGCGTTGCTTAGCTGAGACCATACCTCTCTTCCGAGTCTGCGATGCCGAAGTGAAACTCGCGTCTCACCTTCACGAGAGGTCTTGCGCGGCAAAGGTGATAGAGTGAAAAAAAAAAAAAACAAGGAAAGGGGGGGGCGATCAAAATGTAGAAAACCCCGACAACCTCTCCGGCTCATGATTGCGTAACCTGCGGCTGCTTAGGCGATTTCGGACTTTCGGAGTACTCGTTATAATCAAGGTCTCATCTTAGAACAGTCTTGTTAGACGGTTCATCTCGCATATATACACGCATAAATAGCTTCGATGCAAAGGGGCCTTACGTGTCGATATGAGTGCATTGCATTGGAAGCCAGTGTTTGTTGAATGGCGATGTCTTGGATAGATGACTCCGGGGTGGGTTTAATAACATCTGCCTACTTATGTGATGTGAACGAGACTTGGGTAGAGTGCGTGATTCTTGGCCCCTAGAGTCATGCCATCATGTCATTTTACTAAAGAAGCTGTTGCTGACTCAAGGTTGTCGATGGTATGTAGTTAGCCTCATCCCCTTAGTCACCTTTCGTTGTTTAGCCTCCAGAGATCCCCCTGTTAGCAGTGCTATTGTGGTGAATGGGATACTGGTATTGTAGAATGGGAGGATATAAATAGATTGGGCTCATTATGAGCAGTATGTAGCCCTTTACCGCATGCCCCTTATACTGACAGAGAATTAAGGGGTTTTCACGGAGGTAACGCTGAGATGGCTCTTCAGGAGACACTCAGATGGCCATGTGAGCTCGAAGTTGCGCATCAGCTGCGATCCTGCTTTCTTGAGGCAGAGAGTGAGCTTAGTATAGTAAGTAATGAGTACTTTCACATATGTACAAGATAGTAGCCACCATGTTCAACTGAGGGTAGCGAGAGATATGAGGTAGATTGAGCTTGAGATTGTCTACGGCTACTGACTATTGTATTCAATAATAGTAAGTTAGTTAGGCCATGACCCTTAGTTCTCGTGATCTATATTGGAAGAATTGCTATTCTAATCCCGAGAGTGTAAAAATGCTGCTCGAGATCTGTTGACCTGGCATTAAAAGCGAAGCTCGTATTTGTGTGTACCAGAATGTCATTCCTAAATAAGACCTGTCACCAAACTCTGAATAATGAATGGCTGTGTGGTCGTTCATATGCTCCGCTTGTCACAACAACAGCAAACACTTACACAAACTGTTATAGGAGGCGCGAGGCTCCTTATCCCTTGTAACTCAAACAACACGTGCTCGTGTATCCTACGACGCGTTTCTTGCCGAAAATGCTTATACCAATTGGAATCGCAATGCACAGCTTGGGGTCCATGTCCCATCTATCCTACCACACTTACAAAACGGCTCACTAGTTGCTACTACATATCTCTAGAATCGAATCGAATCGAATCCATCTCTCACAGAAAGATAGAGTGGCCGTATCTTGTGTACTGCATCCGCAAGCGACTATGAGTACCGCGAAAGAAAGTCAAAGCGCTTCTGTCAGGGCCTGGCACATGATCATGGAGCTCTGGGACGAAGCTGCGGTCCAAATCGACGATAGCTGCAGAATAATCAAACTGAGCTCCAGCACTTTCTCCCAGCTCAAAACCCGAGGGGAGAGCTTCTTCATGTATCGTTGCAGGTGCGTTTTACTCAACATCTTTTCTCTCCCGCATCAGCATTAGAAAGCCCGGTCATGTCTGTCTGTCTGTCTATCGCCGTGCCTAGCTGACACTCGAAAAACTCGTAATTAGTATTCTGTTAGGAAAGCCTGCTGAATTCATACTCGACCATTTCAACAACGAGAGGGTGTACTTGGGGAATCCCGCGGAGGTACAGCTCGCGTTGGACTCTGTCCTTGTTCGCGGGCGGAATGATAGGCTTCCTACTTTATACCGTCGTACCCCTCCGAAATAAGACATCGACTGCGTATTTGGCGAGGCTTCCTCATGCCTATCAGGGGCGTGAATCAAGCGTGAATATACTTATTTGAATGGCGTTGGTGTAGCGTAATGCGACGACATAGAGGAGCGCGACGCGGGGTGCCGCGAGCCAACGTGATACAACGCGATCGTGCGGGACACATCAGCACTATACATAATACAGTCTGGACTGTTTGCATATCATTTCCAGGAGTTTGGAAGAGCATAGCATGGGTTTCAAAGTGGTATGGGAGATGGAAGACCGGGGCTACAAGGAGAGTCTCGAGGAAGCAGTTGCTATGCATGGGGTAGTGAGCATAATATCTTATGTTTGGTATGATTCAAGCTGTAGCGTACTTGTCGAGTGTAGGGTATATAGTAGATAGCCGAGTAGCTTGCCTTGCCCGGTGTGGCTCATTCAAGATTTCAGCTTCAAACACTTGCCTCAATCTCATGGGAGTACATGATGTTGTATCGTCTCCCGCCTGGCTCTCATACTATGACCTTTGGAGATAGTTCATTGTGAGATATATGTTCATTAATATTCGATTGCTATATAGGCGCACCACCTATTCATGGTTTCTTTCGGTACGTGAGTAGCAGGAACAGTCTCATAGATAGGGGGTTGTGCGCATGCGCATTCTTAGTATGATAGGTTGGAATGGGTTTATTCATAATGGTACCTGGCTACTCAATAATAATATTTCCATAGAGCTACAGGGCTTGTCAATCTCTCCTGCAAACTTCATGTTGAGTTGCCGTTCGGGCCGGTCCAGCTGCCAATCTGCTGCTACCATATACTCTGCATGTGCTCGTGCGGTTACTTTATGTGCTCTCAAGGATTCTGAAGGTTGGTGGAAGTGTTAGGGATTGGTGTTTGTATCAAACCCCGATACGCAGATCAACGGGTTTACAGGATGGATTCTGTGGCGGCAGTGACGAGGCCCATGCAATCGACTGACGCCAGTAGTAGCCGATCCATTGCCAACAGAGGAAGAATCTGTCCACGTCGAAGTCCCCAACGAACTTATAAGGCTGCGTCTCGTTCCAGTTTCTATCGTCCCGCTGCCCAGAGATGTATATGACACCGTTGTCCTTTGCCGACATGATTTCAAATAAACTGCCGCCAGCTGGGATGTGAACCAGCTGCATGTTGGTCCCCGGACCAGACCGAAAAATAAGAAATGAAGGATATGATTTTGTGTCGTTGGCCGTGGTGACGTTCAAATTGAGGGTAACGGCACCAATTCTAACACCATTTGTGGCGTCGATAGAGTAGTTGAAGTAGAATTGGTTGAGACTCTTGTCATCGGCTTTCTCGGCGTAGCACAAGGCAACATCGTCAGCATCGATATGGCATGGTCGGGCGTAGCCTGTGCCAGAGTTATTAGCACTTGGATAGCGAGAAAGTCACAGTATCATGAGAGATTCTACCATCGATCGAAGAATCGTTCTTTCCGACAATATGAAGGGGAGCGGGACCGACGCCGACGATTATAGCCATGGCACTGGTAGCACCGGCGATCAGAGACAAAAAGACGGACGAATGCATGACGATAATATGTATTTCGTATGCAGTTGATGATAAGGGTAGTCAATACAAATGGTTACCAAAACTGAGTCTAAAATCGTGATGCAGAGAGAGTCCAATCGCAAGAAGATGATAAGCGGATGGCAAAGAGATGAGTTTATTGTAAGACACGTTCTCTCAGAGGGCAAACCTCGGGAGACTAGTTTATAGCTATCGAAGACGGGATGCACTGATTGCTCCTCCTAGTAACCGCGATAAGAAGGTGGCCCTTCCTGTCCTTTGCGAACCGAGTTGAATTTGCGCCGACTACGGCAAGCTCGACAGTTGAATGTCGACGTCATTGCGGTGTACCATCTGCTGTTGGCGTTGAAGGTAGCCACGAGCAGAGAGCATCCTGCGTCAATTTGAATACAACGTTGCCAGTGTCAGATAAAGAGGGGAGTCAGTCTTGCTATGATACATCTTGCTCTTCTTTCCTCGCATATTCCACCTGATACATGGCTTGATGTTGATTGCGATCCGTCCTCGTCTATGTCGTAGTACGTACCGTATCGTACCGTACCTACTTACACGCAAAACAGCACACGTGGAAATGCGTCACGGCTGTGCTATTGACGGAGATCTTTACAACGGCTGCAGGGATTTGATACACCCGATCACGAAGCAGGCCCAGGCAGGAACGTCAGCTACCCAAGACCGGAGAATGTGAACATCGAGCCATTTACGAAGGAGCGTGTTTCCCTGGCCCTTGGGCTCGTCGTCAGAAAGTCCCTTCACCTTGTACACTGCAGATTAAGAGTCGCTCGACGTTAGTAACTTCCAGCTTTTGCAACTTGTGACTTGTTCAACCAGGACACAAAATTTGTAACGTACTGACGAAAGGCGCAAAAGCAAGGTGGAAAACGGCAAGCGCGGTACCGGCGGCATACCACTTCCACGCGCCGTTCGGTCTAGAGTAGAAGTTGCTGATACCGATGGCAGGCGTTAACGTGTAAAAGATGGCGATGTCCCAGATGCCCCTCATGAAGAACGTGGTGAAGTAGGATGGGACGATCTCGTTTGCTTTCTCGCGATGTTGAGGCAGCAAGAAGTTGCTGAGGAAGAAATACTGGTCGTGCGAGAATCGCATGGCCATTGTGGATGTGATGACGGGCGCGACGCGCAGCACGACGAGGGGATCGAAGAATGCCTTCGACGCCATTTTGTCTCCTACTGTAAGAGTATGTATAATTGTGTTGATCAAAGATGCTAGGTTATCTACTTTCTAGTCATTTGTGTAACGCACATACGAGCGAGGTGAGGTCAATTAAGTATGCCAACAGTCGCGTCAGCTTACCTATATATCTCGGAAACAGGTGGGTTGGTGTTCCGTAGAGATGGTCTGACTTCGGGTGGCAAGCCGACGAACTAACTTGACTGGCTTGCCCCGTAGGGTTTAAATAGAAGTCTGAAGGATTTGGCGCATCGGCTAGGAAGCATTGAATCCGATCAAGCACCCAATCTACACAGCTGGTAAATACAGAGACCGTTTAAAGGTATCGAACTTTTGACATTGTATATACTCAAGGTATCTCGATAACCGAATGTCCAGGCAGCAGGTAGCTATATTGATACAGGTACTTCGTAGGCTTTTCATACTAAGTCGTCCCGTGTAAACTGGTTGTGGCGTACAAACCGTACGGCTTCTTCCGGCGCAGCAGGTGGGGTTTCTGGGACACTCAGACCCGAATGCGAGCAGGTGGATGAGAATTTCACCGGTTAACATGCTATGTACTACCTACCCTGATTGTTTTCAATTGACTCATAAGAGACATACGTCATTTCACCGTGAATCGAAAGTTCGGTGAGAGAAGGAAATCTAATTCACGATGAAATGGCTGGGTGCGCGCGTCTTACCAAATGACTACGTGAAACCACTGTTCCGCGTCATGTTACCGACACACGACACACGGGATATCTGCATGAAGTAGCCCGAAGAGCGCAAACGAGTTAGAATACTCAATTAAGATTTGTTCGAAAGACACTGTGGGTTATGTGATTCTTCTATCTCGGCCGCCTGGTCTTAAGAGAAGACGTGTGAAGTTGAGTTTACGTTGGGAGAAGGCGGTGCCTCGCATGGTAAAGCGTATGAGACATACGAGTAGTCACATCAGGATACCTGGATGTAATACACCCAGTAGTGTTGAATTCATGGAGATTCACGTGCATGTAGTCGACAAGACAGTGAAACGGGTGCTCGCAGACAGCCAAACATGTTTACCTCATCTAAACCTACTAGGACTGATGCTCTTATCTATCACAGGCATCTACCTGAATACTGTAGGGACTTCAGAATGCCAGTCTTAGAATACACTAGGTACTACACGTGGTGATGTATCTCTATCTACTTAAGTAGGTAGGCAGTTAGGTATCGAGCCCTGAGATTCATGTCTCGGCGTATATATAAAGCAGTCTCAGTTCCTATAAAGGCATGCGAACCAGAATGTCCTCGAAGCAAACACTCGCAAAGGAGGGAGACGGGAGGAATAAGCTGGAAGCTTGGCCCAGGATTGCCCCTATGTCAGTCACACGTGGGTTTGATGAGATGAGCCGCCCCTTCCTCAACTACATATGCCTCACCTCCTACTTCACCTACCTAACTCAAGATGCATGCACCTGCCCCCAGTGATTCATACCTATGTATATCACAAGTACCTGGATATACGGCATGACATTGGATTGCTACTTAAGTACTCTTAGCTACCTACTTAGAATCTACATACACATCCACCCATATGGTGAGGTACTCTCCTGCATCCCTCATGAGCACCTGACCACCTTCCCTCTCATAAAATCCCATTTGCAGTCTAGGACTTCGGGCAGGTGAACGCACCTACTCAGATAGATATTACCCAAGCTAACTTGGAGAATTGGAGTTCTTACTTCCGGTTTGCATCAGCCATCACCGAGTTCTGTCTACACAGATGAGCCAACCCTCCTCCGCCCGCGGTGATCTTGCTACTTGCATTCAAGTACTTCCTTTGGACACGAGCGAGAGAAGATACCTACATACATAGGATAGGTAGCACTGCCTGTGCAGCTGGTGAAGTCTACAAGAAAGTCTCCTTCGTGGGCATCTTCTGCCTCACCACTGTCCTGAGTCTCTCTCACCTACGCAGCGCGTATTTCAACACTCATCCACAGCACATCTCATACGGTACGTGGCAGAGTACGCAAACCACCTCCCGATGCTTTGATTTCTCATATCCCTATCAATGAAAAGTTCATCTTCAGACCTACTTACCTACTTTCACAACTTATCTAGCTATTGTCGACTCCTCACGTTTTTGACGATTTGAGGACCCACGTGTCCCATCCTCTCAATTTGCCATCACATCAGTAAGTTATCCAATCTTAATAACTTCCCTTCGCTATGCATTTCCTATACTCCTTCATAGCGTGAGATGGTCCTTCTTACTCAACTTGACTAGCATGTGTCACGGCTTGGATGTCACACCTCTCCATCAACACCTCAACCTGCCGTTTCGTATCCATCACTCATCCTGAGCCCAAGCCATTCTTCAGGTAATCAGATTACTCCAATCACCCATCTCTCAAGGAGCCTCCAGTTTCTCTGGTATTGCCCTCTTTACCTCCCACAGCTCCCTGGAAGCATATGCGCAATCTCAAATACCAAGCTCCCCATCACGTTAACATAGCTCTCCTAGATCAACGTATCATATAACGTGAGAGTAAAGGACCAGATCAAAATGTAAGTCAGGCTTAATAGTACCCTCGTCCGCGGCTGCTCATTTGCACATATTTTTCGTCCTCATTGTACCTTGAGGGGTCTCAGCAGCTTTGCTAGTTCCTCCACCCATACCATGTTTACTTGTCGGCACGGATAACGGAAATGGCAGCATTACTGACATGCCATGAGTTCTTATAAAGTACATTTCGATCTTAATATGTCAAAAAATGGCGAATCCGTCCACTCCTACACATATCGGTGATGGTCAGAAATCGTCTTTCACCCCCAGTGCTACTGAATTTGCACCGAAGATGGTCGACTCAAAGAGAGAAGTCCTCAGAGCGAGCTTCGTCACACAGACAGTGCCCAATGTTCCTCCCCATGCCGGCATTGTAGCACTTTGTACTGTGCCAGAGGAGAAAGCTGGTATGGAACATCTTGGATGGCATATCGCCGACTTTCTCGCCTTCCGAGCACTCCTATGTGGGGAAAACAACCCAAAGGCACAGAGTTGGTTAGCCATGTGCGACATTCCTACTCTGGCGCGGGAAAACCCAGAACGCTACGTGCACGGAAAGGAAAGACGGCTCGTGGGTGTCGCAGCAAGCCCAACGCAAGTTGAGACTCCCACCGGGCTCGTAGAACGAGAAGATAATATCCAGGTTGAGACCTCTGCGGAGGTTATAAAGGATAAATTCATCGTAGCAGTGAAGAAGAAGCTGACAGTATTGAAGAAATATGGATATCCGCTTTTTCTCATCGTCTGTGGGCTGACATCTCTGGAGCAAGATATCTATTTCGGCCAGCTGGATGTTGATCATCGTTACACGATGAAAGAGTTCCGCGAAGACCTTGGTAATGACATCAATCATATCGATGTTACGGTTGTCACACCTTCTCTGTTCTCCGCCGGTTGGCGCATCAATACTTCGCTTGGTCGCCCCAACTCAGCAGAGGCGCGGGGGACCCGGGTTGAGTTTCTTGCGAGACAGTTCGGTGGTCTATTTGCTGGTGATCTTGTTCCAAAATTTCTTGGTTGGCAATGTCCGGCGATAGATGGGACCAAGATTGACCTTGAAATTCAGTCGCGGGAGAGATTTCCCGGCCCTGTTGTGCCCTCGGAAGAGGTGAAGGCACTGAGTTCCCAGCTTGAAATTAAGATCCAGTCTTTTCTCCTTGGCGAATCCAGTGCCTTCCCAGCAGATCATTCGTTTTCGTTCGACAAAAGCAAGGATGAATGGGATGTCCTCATTAGATCTCGCGAGAACCAGCCCGATTATCGGTCGTTAGACTGGTACGAGCGGAAGTGGGAGGAGCTACCATCAGCGCAAAATCCCGTATCTCCTCGCCATGGTTTTGAATTCTTAGGGAGTGCATATGGAGGCACTAAAATGTCGCAGCTTAATCATCTCAGATACCTTATTGAGGATTCATATCTGGCTTGGCCAGACTACTGGGCATCGACGTTCGGCCAAGAGACGAAGAAAGACTTCGAGCGGTTTAAGATCACGTACAACCCAGACTGCCTTGACTGCCTTGAGATCTTCAACATCCTTGAGCATCGCGCCAGGACATCTATCTTAGGCGACGCAGTAATTGAATACTTCGACCTCCCTATGCCTGATAACAAGCGTTGTAGAGACTGCAACGTTTACAAAATAAAACAACAACTTCCAGAAACAGCTCGAAGCTCATTGATATCGCGCTTTGGTACAGTTTTGATGTCTCTCCCTGGCCCTAATGTGCCACCCGGTGTCAACCCAAACAGTATGAGTAGGCTGCAGCAACGCCTGGAGAATTGCAGGGGCTATATCCGGGCGTCTTTGGCGATTCGATTTCTGACAAGTGGAAGCTCCAGCCAAATCGCCATTGACCGTATCGAGAACTGTATGTCGTCGTAATCTCCTCTCATTAAGATGTTGGCTAACAGAATATAGTTATACAAGAGGTGAGACAAAAGCAATTAGAGCTGTTAGCTGCGAACCCAGAGATTCACCAATTGTGCTGTAAATGGTTGAACGCTATCGACATACCAGTCCATGATCTACCCGGTGCAGTGACCGCAGCTAGAACATACAAAGCGTGCCCTATACTTGAAGATGGAATCGATTTCCTAGATTTCGATGATGAGTACGAAGTTTTTCGAGATGACGGCAAACTCTTCGACTCACTGGCAACTCCTAGTGTAAAGCCTCTACCTGTTGGCCATTGTGACCAACCCCCTTCTTTCCCACCTTCAGCACCTTCGCCTATTGCATCGACTCTAGAGCAGAGAGTTTTTACACCTGAGCGCCCTATCAATACTGGAATTGTTATGACATCTCCGGCGAATGAAGTCATTCAGACCCCCGAAGAGGCAACTATGGGGATTTCACAAGAAGAACTGGAAGTCGAGGCTCAGCAAACGAAGCTCCTCAATGAATTCGTAACTACCAATGAGAGAGGAAAACGTGAAGAGATAGCCAAGAAACTTTTGGCATTGTTTCAACAAGATAGTCATTCAACAGCGAATGTCGAATTTGATCAACCAGCTCGTGGTACTAACGGCGGCGCTCCTGACCTGCCAGTTCCTCACGTGAAGGAGAGTATTTCGAGGGAAGAAGAAGAAAGACATCTGGAGCAGAAGCGAGCAGAGATTGCTAGCACTAAAGAGGTCCTTGAGAACTTGGAAAAGGTTGTTCTTGATGAGGGAAAAAAGGAAGAACCCATCACTAGACGACGGACACCCCCGCATTTGCGTGGCATCCGTCGCTAAAAAGGTGTTTGTGGTCTTATTGCAATTTTACAGGTTTATGACGGAATGCCATTCAATTGAGATTGCATATTGCAAAGGTAGAAGTAATAGGTGTCATCCGAGATGGATTTAGCACCACTTGGCCCTGTCAACTTCGAGATAAGTTTGAGGGGTAATGAATGAAATTGACATTTGACGCCAGGGTCAACCTTGATATTCCAGGCTGAATAGACAAATGCAACAGTTTAGGTAGCAACAATCAAGCAGTAAAAAGAAGCCATTTGCGTTGATCCTAATCCCTACATTACACCCAAAATCAGGAGAGAAGCCAGAGGTAGCTTTAGGTGACACTATATATATCACGACGAAAGGCTAGGAAGACGTCATAAGCTGAAGCAGTGACGGCACTAATTACCGGCGCATTAGTGTGCCATTTCATGCAAATTGTTTTAGTCAATTATGTATTTTCTTCTTTACCTGGGCTTATAGTGTTTGATGGTTTCGTCTGGTTTGCTTCCGCATGGAGTGGCGCTCTCGGACCCCGCTGGAAGACATACAGCGCCTCATCTTTGCCAGGGAAACTGGGCAGCGGCACCTGCGCGACCTTGACCCACTCGTCACCATGCTCACGGTCCATGAATTCGTCCATGGTCATATCACGAAAGCCCGTGTAGCCATTGTGGTTCTGCGTCCCCACGACAGCTATCGTGTCGCCGTCGTACGCCTCTAGCATGCCCCGCGTGAACCCACCCTCGCTACCGCCGGCCACGCCGCCTCCTACGATGGGATATACCAGGAGCAGCACGGCGTCCTTAGCGCCGGAGCGCGTCTCGCGCAGATAGGCTACACCGTCGGCGATCAGGGTGTCGCGGACCCAGGTCGTGCGCCAGCTTGACTGTGCGCTGTCTACGGGCGTGACGAGGGGTACGGGGTTGGGGGTCTTCGTTTTACTCGACGAGGGGGCGTGGAAAACGTTGTAGTCGCGGAGCATTCGCGTCCAGTACCCGTTGCCGGAACCCATGTCTATTATCTCCCTGCCGGCGGCCACGGCGCGCAGGATCTCGAGGGCCTCGTGCGTTGGACAGACGCAACCGAAGTGGTGCATCAGGATCGGGAGAACGTGGTGCGACGACGGGCGGCCGCCGCGCGCGGAGGACGGGCTGGGGCCGGCCCATTCTAGATTGCGGATCGCCCAGGATAGGAATGTTAGGTATGGGTTTGGTGGCGCTGGTTTGGGGGAGGATGGCTTTATGCGCGGGATGCTGAGGTTGAGTTTGGGGTGGATGTATCGTTTTGCGGATAGGTGGGATCCTATCTCGTGCCGCAGGGACCCCTTTTTCGCGTTCGAGGTGTAGTTTTTCAGGGCTGTCGATGCAGAGTTTGCGGGACTGAATATAGAGAGGTAGGCTTCAATGTCGGACTGTGGAGGAGGTGGGAGGACGGGGGGGACTTGTGGTAGCGAAGAAGACGACGGTTTGGGTTCAGAGGTGCTAGCGTTGGGAGTTTGCTCGGTGCTAGAGGCGTCTACGTCTGCGTGCGGCTGCGGCTCGCCGAAGTACCAGCTATGCAGTCCGTGGGCGTCGCCGAGAGACACGATGTGCTGCACCTGCGGGAGCGTGACGGCCACTATGGCGTGGTACACGTAGCTGTCGCTGCCGCGCAGCGAGAAGGACGCCGCGATGGCGGATTTCAAGTCATCTTTGGCGAGGTGCGTTTCGGCGCGGGAGTGGAGTTGCGCGTCTGCTAGGTACGCGTCTGGATTCCAGGTCGGTGAGCCCTCGCAGTAGATGACGGCGGATTGCTTCTTGGGGCCCATGCTAGAAGATGGAAAGTCTCACGCGTTTATTTTAAGGAGAGGATCACTAAATAGCTAGGATGACGTTGGTGGTTTATTAAAGACCCTATATAAGTACCTAACTTACCTAGGTATGGTGGGGTTAGGTTGAGAACCCCGCTTACTTCGAGGTAGCTTCTCTCAATTAGGGGTGGTGTCAATGGGATAGCTTTAGTCAATATAAGGCATTGTATTGCGCAATTATGAAAAGGAAAGCATCATTAAACCTGTCAGGATGGTTTACGTGATATTGAAGAAGATAATATGTCACTTGTTACTGGGAACTCCTGGGTGAATATTGACTCAGTCGACCCTTTTTCGACGATACCTACCTCCGCCTGGTGAAGCCCGGTAAGGGTACGACCCCTGCAGTGATGTTGCACCAGCTCAGCGATCTCTGAGGTCATATTAACATTTTGCACGTGTTAGTTGTTACACTGTTAGCTCCTCTTCACTGAGGCTCCCAAGTCAAAGTCACTCTATCGTACAACTTTACGAGATGCCTAAGACACCACGTGTTGATTCGCTGCCGCGCGACGTTAGACAATGTCGACTTGAACAAGCTTGATATGACTACCTACGTACGGTCACGGTGCCTTATAAGTACCTTAAACATGACGGGACACGGTCGCAATTGTGGCACGTACAGATTGAGACGCGATCGTTGAAGTCTACGTGGGGTCAAAAGCAGGGGAATATCTTTATTAGGTAGGGAGGTAAGGAGTTGACTCTGCATTCAAATTCTCTGTGTTACTTAGATATCTTACAAATAACGCCGAAATCATCCTCTTTCAGTTTGGTGAACACGTCAGATCTTAATTCGAACAAAACGGCATCGTAATGACCCTCATCTCCTCCCTAGTAGTTCTTAGTTGTGCCTCAACTCGCCGACGAAACTCGGGGTCCATTTCGCATTCCAAGGCTGCATTATCGTTTCGGACAATGTTAAAGGCGTCTCGAATGGCATCAAAATGAGAGCTGGCAATTTCCTGAATCTGAACTTGCGAATCGTTCACGTACTCATCAAAGTCTCTCTTGAAACTTTTCAATAAATCGGTAAAAAGGCCATGACGTCTGACAGCGGAGTTAATGATAGCCTTCCGTCGAGCATCGCTGCCTCCGCCTGTCAAATATTATTAGGGCTGTAATAACAGGAAATAGTTGAATTGTAGGAATATTGTGCTTACCACTCTCTAGTCTTGCATTATTGTATGCGTTTTCCATGGCCTTCCCGATAAATGATGTACGAATGCCAGACAAGGCATCTGCTCGAAGGGTACTAAGGAATTTCATGAGTAAACAGGATTCCTTAAAAAAAAATTAATCACTTACCGCAAATTGACTTGGAGGTCATCCAAATTATTCTCAACATCTGCCGCTAAAACGCGTTGTAGTGCCCCAAGTGTAGATGAGATAGAATTTGCCGTCTCAGGGGAGTCATTCAACTCAGCATCTACGCCTCATGTATTAGTCGCCATATTTTATATACCCATAATAGACTTTGCAGCTTACCCAAGAATGTGTCTGCCTCCTCAAAGATGTCACCAATAAACTCCGTGATATCATCGCGTTTTATATCCAAGTTGAATTGTAGCTGTTCCCAAGGGGCACTCAAATCAACCACCATCTGCTCTATGATCTCCTCATTCCAGTTTCGCGACCCGACTTTGGCTGTGTGGTGTGTGCCAAAATTACGACAGAATGCGGCGTACGAGGCTGAACGATCAGTACACTTCAAACAATATCTGCAAGAGACATACCATGGTGCCACTGATACCACACAATCAGTAAGATGAAGACTGTTCTTTAGAATGCCATTGTATTTCTACTTACACCGGTCCAATCATTGCTCGCATGCTTCGCGGTCACACTCCATCCGTTCACACGATCCCCTAGAGCTAATTAGAATTGAACGCTCTTGAGAGATTGGCAGAACATACCTTGCAACCGATATAGCTTTGTGTCAAATTCTTGCTTGTATGAATTTGCTATATTGAGCTTAGACGAACGACCACACAGCTCCTGATTCGAGCATTAGATTTGGACATTTTCTCGATTACGAATGGGAGATCAGACCAGGTACAGTTTCCTCTCTAGGGTGCCTAGAGTACTTCGAACTTTCTCCTTCCTCTCTGCGCTCAACGATCCCTGTCCTGATTGTACCCAGAGGTTCAGCTCCCCTAATAGTACTCCGATGTCATCTCTCATATACTTGATAGAGGCAGCGTACTGACTCTCCGACACCATGGCCATGCAATGCAGGCGGATTGCCAGCACTCCGCTGAGTTCGAGATGAGGCATAGCTTGGTCTCGGTTTTCTTGCCGCCAATCCCAATAAATCGAATTGCTGGCACAGAACACCTTGAGCCTGTTACCGGGGACTTCGTGTTTGTATTGCCCAGTAAGTTTCTTTTCGACGGCCTTGTTGCGAGTCGTAATAAGAAACCTTTGGAGACTTTTCCGATGATTAGCGAATTTTATGAATGACCGGCAGATTAGCAAACTTACTCGAATTCAGCACTGCGCAATTTCGCGCTATAAAGTGACAAAATGATTAGAGTTATCCAGCGAGAGTTTGTAAAGAGGGACACATACTCGCTTGACCGTTTAGCCCTTTCAAGCCGACTGAGTTCCTCGGCCTCCTCGGCATTAATATCGTCAATAAATTCGTCAAAAGAATTTATTTCATCGCTTAGGTTCTTATTGATCGACTTTTCTCGCTTGATAACGTCGAGCATCTCCTGAACTTCCTTTCCAGGCCTCGTCCCTTTCCAGTCCTTTAGGGCTTCTGTAGGGTTAATTTCCTATAAGCTGATGAGCATTCCGCTGCGATTACTATATCCGAAAGAAAGGATTAACTTACATCGGACCTAGTACAAATGATACTAACATCCGAGAGCTTAGCTTTTTTCGCGAGTTCAATGACGCTTTTGACTCCCTCATCTGTTGTTGCCCGCCCCTCGGCGGCTACAACGAATATCTCATCACATTTAAGAAGATAACGTTCTGTGATGTTCCTGCGTGCCGTGTTCAGGTCGCGAAGACCTATGATCAGGTATGTCAGCTAGAGGGAGGGTATCGCGGCTTGATGGGTAGCGCACCTGGGAGGTCGACAAGAATCAGTCCCTTGCTTAGGATATGAGCATCTGAGTAAACCCTGTCTACTGTTAGTGATCACACTTTGACTGGTCTTGGCGTGAATATGCATACATGATCTTCTTAATCCACGGCCAGAGAGATGTTTCGTTCGACGGCACGTCTGAAGAGAGCTGCATTAACAAAGAAGAGCACTCTTCGAGTCCAAGCCCTGATTGCCTCTTGGGAATCATAGATCGGTCAAATCTCTGTACCCACAAAGTGAGCGTTGATAGAGAGCCCTGTTCCGTGTCCCGAATGAATGAGCTTTTATCGATAAATACCCCGGGGAACATGGCTTGGAAGGTGTCACGAGCAATGTCAGCTCTTTTCTCCAACTCTACGAGCTCATGTGGCTCAAATGAATCTCTATTCAAGTGATAGTGTCGGTAGTCTTCAAGAAGATTTCTCAATTGAGGCATCAGCTCGGCGTCGGAGAACGTCTCAACTTCTATGGCAAATTTCTTGTCATGATGGAAATGAAACTCTGTAACGACACAGGTGCAGGCACTCCCGCCGTTGCTCTATTGATGTGTTAACGAAATGCAGCTGCTGTCTAATTACTGAAGCACATACAGATCTAGCCAGGTCGTGACAATCCAGGAGCGAGTTCAACAAAGTACTTTTGCCTATGTATAGAATCGTCAGGCTGGGCAACAGCACATCAAAACTAAGGTATAACGTACCAGCACCTGAGTCTCCAACAAACCCGACAGTTCGTCTTGATGGACATTCGAACTGTGATAGGTCCTTTGCTTGGTTGCAAAGGCGCTCCATCACAGAATCTGGCTCGTTGTGTACCGCACTGCTTGATAGTACGCTTACCAGTTTGGTCACAGACTCCTTCGTGTCTTGATATCTTTTCTGAAAACCTGGGTTGTTGAACCGGTCGTTGGGCGGAACCTCATCATTGACGTTATGCTTTCCGACATTGGAACGCGATCTCGATCGTCTGCGTTGGGTTCTCAGAGGTGATGGAGGGAACGAACTAGAACGTAGTGGATCAAGTAAAGGGCTGGAACGATTGTCTAATCCTGCCGCCACATCTTGAAGTGCACTAGACATAGGAGCCATATTCATCTGTGACCTAGCAGTAGAGAAGCGCATTCCTCGAAGACGGCTACCGAGATGATTGACATCATCATCATCTCGATCAATCGTCGCTGGGGTAGATACATTGCTGGAAGCCGAACGAGACGGTGTGAGGGGCAGTGACGGAGCTCGAGTACTGGGTGTTGAAGGCGTCGATATGTTATAAGCTCCGTCGCCAGAGAAAGACCCTTCAACGGTCGGTAGTGCCATGTCAGCGTCAAAGCGATCTCTAAACTCAGCACGAGGGATCGCATAGTCATCGCTACTAGGCTGGGAGGTCGAACGCGGAGTATAATCAGTGTCCTCGCTTTCCTGAGAGTCGTGTCTAGCTGCCGACTCCGCTCTGCCAGCAAAGCGTTGAGTTGGGAGCTAAACAGTCAGCACAAGCCATCAGAAGGGGAGGTTCAGCTGTTCGAATATACCTTCACTCTAACCATGATGGGAATCAAAGAGATTAGAAGAAGGAAAGTGAATAAATGACTTGTTCAGGTGCTGCCTCGTCACAAATAGCTGGTACAGATATGAATGTGTTTAGTGTCGTGATGGTTTTTTTCGTCGGGTAATCCATATCGGCGTACTTTTCAGACTTTATATGCGGACCATATATACAAGCTCAGAAGTATTGCGGTCTGCCTAAGGCTGCCTGTGTCCAGCAGGCACCCATATCCTTTGGCAGAAGATGTCTCAGAGGTCTCCAACTTGGCCAGCATCATACATTCAAGACAGTATCTCAGCATTCCAACACCGCCCATTCTATTCCAAGTAAAAAATCCTTGCAATAACCCTGATAGACCACAAAACGATAACAATCTAGGCTCTGTAGCTGACATGTATCGTGTTATCAGGTCACAGAAACCTACCACTGACACCATCTAGCCCATGAAGCGATCCTAAGCCCCAGCCAACCCCTCCTTTGAATTGCAGACAAGCCTTACGCACAAGGCGCCTTATGGCTAGGTTTCATGCAGCCGCAGTAACACCATGAACCAACAGCATAGTGTGAAGTGCGGCGCAGTCAACTGTCAACAGTCAACTGTCAACAGTCAACTGTCAACAGTCAACTGTCAACAGTCAACTGTCAACAGTCAACTGTCAACAGTCAACTGTCAAGGGTGCTATTGGCAAACAAGGCTGTTGGCAGGATAGACCCACAGTAATGTCCTTAGTTTTGACCGCTTCCAGCGCTTAAGTAGGTCTGTTGACCAGAGGCGCAAGACCGCTGGTCAATCCAAGCAGGCCTTCTTTGACTTCTAATCAAAGACTTGCAGGAATGAGTCAACTACTCATTCCTCTTAGTTTAGCAAGTTCATTGTACGAGATTAGTTGTAAACACTCACGGTTCGTTTAGGCGCTGAATTTGAAACAAAAACACGACCATCGCCATATGAAACGCCAAGACGTCGATTTTGGTAAGCATTACCTTTTGTCACCTGGCCTGGCACATGCACACAGCGATCAGCGCAGATAAAACCATGAGGAATCATCAGCGGTTACATCCGGCTCAGTGATGTTACTTCAGGTAAGTATTCGAGTATTCGCCATTTGGACAGATGTGAGAAACCCAGCTCACCGTGAGTCTTCTGTACTGCTCAGTTGTAAATTACGCGTAAGCCTCGTGACGAGAGGAGATCTAAAAGGGCTGATTGAGTTCTGGGGTTGTGGAGTAGTGAAGGATCCCCCACCATTTAGCCCTGGTCACCACGTGTATCGTCCCTAGCGGTAACCAGGGTCCTACCCCCAGGTTTCAATCAGAAACTCTTGAGTTTTATGAGTGAAACCGACTGTAACCAATCTAATTATTCTTACCAACATCGAAAAACACGATTTCTACGATATCTTTGATTGTGAAACTAGGTAGGGTCCGCTATGTCCAGAGTCTAGAGACAAGGGAACAAAGAGATATGTTGAACGTAGGTGGGGGCTATAATAACCGTTAGACCACTCAAACGTCTAACGGCGTCGTTTTTGACGTTCGAGAGCTTATGTATGTCTGAATTGGTTTGCCCATCTCATTCTGCCTCTGCAGTAACTACAGTTGATGTTGAGGACAACTCACAACAACTTATGACATAACAGTTTCATCTAGCATGAAAAGGGTCTTGTTTATGCCCTATATCTTGTTTGCATGGTTGTGCGTTGTTGCTACTCTAACAAGATAGTTTCAGCTAATAACGCTTTTTCGTTAGAAAATTAAAAAAAAGAGAAAGAAAATAAATAAAAACTGTCTCATTGCAATGCGTGAAGCTGCCTCCCCTTTAGCCCTAGTTTCGCAAATCTAGGTTAGTAGCTAAGGGAATTGAACCCCTTAGCTTCTATTTTAATGTTAGGATAAACCTGAATATTGCAGTATTGGTATTGGTATCCTTAAACCGTTCGTCTATCCGGCCCAACTTGGCAACAGAGTGGTCGTCTAATTTTTACTGTGTACTTGATGTTAGGCGTGGGTTGACGCGTATTTACACGCGATGTGTGTGTTGCTCGGTGGTACGGTTGTTGCTGGACGACGCGGGTGTTGAGATGCGAGGCTGCACCAGACGCGTCAAAGACGCGATGTCACACACGCCTAACGCGCTGAGTACCATGCAGTTATTCTGCTGATGTCGTGACATGCCATAGACATCTTGGAGGTTAGGAAGACTCAATCACCCGTCATATGGTATAAGTCTTGTAAATTATACATGAAGTGATTGGTCCAGACCACAAAGGTACCTGATAGAAACAAGGACCATTGTTCTCTGAATAAAGTCAGCTCTTATTGAAGTGTATGAGATAATGAGTAAGTCATGAAGAACACCTACCTGGTAAATGTGCGGTACGCTTTATTCTCAAACTCGATTCTCTCATGCGATCATGGTTAGTTGATCTCTACTGTTCCACAGGAGCCAGACAGAGCAGTATCGGCTATCTGGCACCGTTGCACTGTACATTGGACAGGCAACCTCCTTTCAGTATTTGACTTGTCAGCATAAGTCCCTTTTGGACAATGGTAGCCTAGTATAGATAAAAGCAAATCCAAAGTGGATGCTTGGCGTGTCTAGGTGGCTAAAGGAAGTTTGGGTGTCCTACCGCCTGAAGTCTCCTAAGACTTGTGTAACAATAGTATTGCAAAACCACCATACGCGATTCCTTCAAATTTCAACTTATCCTTTGTTTACCTCCACTTCTTGCGAAGAGAATAACCTTAGTTAGTTCCACTTAGTAAGTTTAAGCCCAGTGTAGGTAAGCTTAAACAATGCTAACTGATTCCTAACTGATTCGCAACTAACTCTAGTACAACAGTTCAAGATAAGAACGGCAGTTGTCTGTTGTGAGTTATATTAATCTTATAGTTAACTGTATCGCGAGACGGAGGATTTATGACTGAGGATACAGAGTCATATCTTCGCTCTCCCGATTCCCCCTCGATTTTCCACATGTAACTAAACTGCAGCATGGCGTTGACTTAAAATGCGAATAATCAATTTCGAGTAACCTACATTAATCCACATTTTAGTACCAAGGGTACTACTGCTCTTGAACAGCCATAAGATTTGCAACTTAGAATTTGTATGTACTCATTATGTTGCAAAGTCTAAACAGGGAAAACTATCATCGGAGGGATATTCTCGCACTTGAGTGGGCCTTAAGGCCCGACAGCACGCATCTGGGATCTCTGCACGTGGTTTGATATGCGCTAGCTAGATGACTTCTACGGTATTCTCTTGGAGAGCGAGTGCCTTATATAAGGGACCTACAGCCCTTACTTGAGCCGCTCCTAGGTCCACTTATAGTGCGACATGGATTCACCCTGTAATATAGTCTTGGAGGAGCTGAGCCAAAGAGGGAAGTCATAAATCGATGATAATTATTGAACCTTTGACTACGTATTTGAGCGAATCACCTACCTTCTCACTGCAAGAGTTAGGCCAATTTGAAGGAAAGCTGTGTCAGATATCACCATCCAATCATTAGCTAGCGAGGGAAATTCTTTGGGTTGTGGGCACAATAGGGGTAATTCAAGCAGCATGGCAAACAAGGTGAACAACGTGGTATACCGGCTGTCGCGGCAATCCACATTTATCCCCAAACCTCGGCTGGATCCAGAAGTGATAAACTGTATCCATGAGATCTTACTAATGTTCGAAACTCATTTGCAGGTTTCCCGAGGACCAAATACGTGGTGGCAGAGTTGCGCCCTAACGTTAGATATGTAATTCCAGATATATTGTCATACCACGGATTTCGAAAGATGGTATCAAGGTATGACTGTAACTACTCACATATCGCTGTCACCGAATTATGCTGAGCCATTAGTAGGACGTTCGTGTCCGTTGCCAAGCTTCTCTTGTGGTACCTGCATTAGACATACCGTCACGCCACACCCGCACGCCATCTACGCCATCTCCGCCTGATCGCTTACTCACTTCACTTAGCTCTGTCTATGGTAGGTATCATTCTTATTGGGCGCCTCTGACGTGCTCTTACTGTAGGATGAACGGCTGTGCATGATACTTATAAAAATTTAGCGCAGATCCTAGCCCTATTTGCCTTATTCCAAAAAGGTGAAGACGAGCTTGCTAAAGTGGATTGAGATACCGATCTTGGCATTGATAATTATCCCAGTCCATGACCCTGTTCTGCGGGGTGATGATATTTGTACTCAAGCTGATCTCGAACCCATGAATATTATTTCCCCCGCTCCGCTGACAAACATACACTGCTCCGGTGAGAGTATTACATGTGTTATCTTCCAAATCAGTCTCACTCCTAAAGGCTTCGCTTTTCGAGGGACCGGTGATCAGCATAAGTCAAAATTTAAGCTTACCTGATGGTTTACGTTTCTGCGGATTTGGCTGTTGCTTAACGTTTGTAAATACACTGGAAATGGGTTACACTGGATCGTTTCCTCGCAGCTTGTCTTGTCGGCAAATTGCATCGTCGCATACCTACCTACGTACAAACAAGCTATGATTGCTCCACATTGCGCCTCTTCACACCTGGATAGAGCCTGAAAAGTGCATACACGTGCTGCATGTAACTCGCCTATGTGACTCTATCCTTGAGTTAACGCGACTTAGGTAGTATCCAGGAGGTTGAAACGTAGTGGTAGCTACTCACAATTTCGGAGAAGAGTGTCGTTCATCCGCTGATTTCTTGCACATGAGCTAGAGCCAATCACGGCTAGTATACACAAAGACCTCGCATTTGGCATGAGGTCTACATGTAACCACATGTCAGCCCACTATACTAAAGTTCGCTAACCGAAGCAACGGGTCTGCAACGGGTAGAGATGCCAAAGTCCGGGGGAGCATAGGTAACCGGTGTTGTTACCTTGCACGCTAAAATAATTGAGTGCCAAGATTGATCAACATGTTCATATGCAACGCTGGCCGTGCAGTGTTTGCCATGATTTGATAAGTGGTGTATGGACTTACTAAGTAGTACTTAAGTGACCTAGACTAGGTTGCTGGTTCAACTCTACGCTATAGATGTGGAAGGTTATGGATCACCAAAAGTTCCAGGGATATTCCACATAGGCTCGTTGCACGTGGGAGAGACGGTACTCCAACATATGGTCAGCAATAAAGGAAATGTTCTAATAGGACCCATCACAGCAAGTCACTCCCGAGCTCACTAGTATAGTTATTAAGCCAAGACAACGGGAAGAAAGCTAAGCATAAGGAGCCGATACAACAGGTGCTTATTCTATTCTACAGCTTTCAGATTCCCAGCTAGCGTCATCAGGCATCCGTCGCCAAGCGAATTAAGAATGGACAGTGTACAAGGAATAAATGGGGGGGGGGGGGGGGGGGGGGGGGGGGGGGGGGGGGGGGGCCCGGGCCGGGGGCGGC